ACCTGGTGGCTTGCTTTCTCACTGCCCTACCCCCACGATCTCTCTCTGGTGAGCACATGTGCCCTAAAGTAAATTTAAAAAATAATAATAATTAAGTAATTATAAAAAGAATTAATAGAATTTTGTACTATGTGCACATACCAATTTTTTTAAAGAAATCTAAAAATTGTGTAAATTATTTTGTTCTCCAACAAAGATGTCAAATGATAGGAATCCACCATTCTGTGTATCTTTTAATGACAGACTTGGTTTTACAAATTCATTTCCATCCTCTATTTTTCTCTTTGTCCCTCTTTCTTCCCTTTCCCCTTCACACTCAAACATACACAAAATTATATACTTGTTTCCATTTATTTTCCATTTATGTGAACATTTAAACTATATACTTTAAACCTTACTCTGTGAACTTTTTATTATTATTTTTTAATGTTTTTGCCATAGTGTGTGTGCACTAGCTGGAGAGAGATAGAGAACAGAGAGGGAAGGTGAGAAATCCTCCTCGTGCGGGGGGTATGGCCACACTGCAATCTTGAAAACTCCATTCTCCTCTCAGGATTTTGGGCATAGACACAAACATGCTGGTGTGATTTTCAGGGTTCGAACCATCGTCAGCCACGTGAGAGTCCAGTGCCTTAACCATTACCCCACCTGCTGGCCCCATCTGTAAATTTTTTTTTCCCCTAATAGTGGTTTAGTAGTGTTCTCATTACAAATGAAGTTAGGGTCTAATGAAATAATTGCCGCTATTTACTGCCCTTCCTTTTAAATGCTGAGTATATGTGCCTCACTCCTGCTGTAAGAGACTCTGTGCTAGAATAGGTTAGAGTTTCCACCCACGTTTCTTGCCCTGCTGAGCGGGCTGGGAGGTCACACACAGGCTGTGTGTGAGGTATCTGTGAGGTAACTCAGAGCTCTGAGGCTGGTCTACAGAGGAGAAGAGACAGTAAGGCCGAACGCCATCAATGCTGAGGCCTCCTTTTTAGCCCTCAATACCTTTAAGTGACAAGAGATAGATTAGAGCAAGAGGTCTGCATGTTCGCATTTGTGTGAAAGGGGGGAAGGGTAAAAAGTCATAAGGAGAACTCATAAAGAGATGCAAGTCATTGTAGAACAAACACATTTCCGAACTGCTGGGTTATACCAAATGATCAACTTGCCATGCTAAGTGTTATGGTATCATTTTCCTAAGTCGATGCTTGAAGTTTTCAATGCAGGAAGACATATTGTGTTCCTTAATGCGATAGATTTACTCACAGCCATCTTAAAGATGATTTCCTTAGCAAGACAATATCCTACGCTAGAGCAAAGAAGCAAGTTCTTTAAATCTTTCTGAATCCTTGCAAAGTCAATAAATTGCCGTTGAGTGGTAGTCTAAGTGTATTATTTATTTATTTATTGTTATTATTATTATTATTTGGAGAGGTTTTTGCTATAGGGCATGTGCACTTGCCAGAAAGACAGAGACAGAGAGACAGAAAGTGAGAAATCACCCCCCCAGGGGGTATGGCCACGCTGCAATCCCTTTTCCTCCATTCTCCTCTCAGGATCTTGGGCACGCATGCACACACTCCCGGCATGAGTTTAAGCCACCGGGTCAGGGACTCGAACCACGGTCAACTACATGTGAGTCCAACAACATAGCCATTATGCTAATTGCTGGCCCCAGTGTTTTAGTTTTATTTTTTATAGAGCTTTTTGCCTTAAGGCACATGTGCTTGCCAGAGAGAGACAGAGGGAAAGTGAGAAATCACCCCCCAGAAGGGATGGCCAAACTTCATTCTCTTCTGGCCACACTTCGATCTCTATTCCTCCACTGTCTTTGTGGGATCTCGGGCATGCATGCACACGTGCCCTGTGTGAGTTTCAAGCCACCAGGTCTGGGACTCGAACCAGGGTCAGTCATGAGGGAGTCCAGTGTCATAACTGCGATGCCATCGGCTGGCCTCCTCCTAAGTGTATTATTGGGAAATGGAGTCTCTATCAAATTCCTTGCTGAAGTGTGATTTTCACCCTTCAGCACAGGGAACTGTCCTTTCAGAGTTGGTACCTCCCCCTGAAAGATATGCAGCATTGTGTCCCTCCTGGCTGCTCTACCACCATCCAGAAAAGCTGCAACGTCTGTCCTGAGCGTGGAGCTCAATGCTAAAACGAGGTCACTCAACGGGTGGAAGCAGTCTTGGTTGGTGACCTACTGCCGTGAGTCAGAATGTGAGAGTCCTCATTTTTACATTTATAGTCTGTACACTGAGCTTCTCTGAAACCTGTCTGTGAATGCGGCGAGATACCAGACACTTGTTCAGGAAACGTAGTGCAATTTTATACATATAGAGCTATGCAAATGTGGAACATTTTATGTCCCCTTACCTGTAAAAAATTGAGACTAACCTTATCGAAGAATGAATAAATTATGACACACAGTTGGACTTTAAAATGTTAATCTTGGGATCAGTAGGTGGCATGGTAGTTAAGATGCTGGACTCCCACATGGTTGACCGTGTTTCGAATCCCAGACCTGGTGGCTTGCTTTCTCACTGCCCTACCCCCACGATCTCTCTCTGGTGAGCACATGTGCCCTAAAGTAAATTTAAAAAATAATAATAATTAAGTAATTATAAAAAAGAATTAATAGAATTTTGTACTATGTGCACATACCAATTTTTTTAAAGAAATCTAAAAATTGTGTAAATTATTTTGTTCTCCAACAAAGATGTCAAATGATAGGAATCCACCATTCTGTGTATCTTTTAATGACAGACTTGGTTTTACAAATTCATTTCCATCCTCTATTTTTCTCTTTGTCCCTCTTTCTTCCCTTTCCCCTTCACACTCAAACATACACAAAATTATATACTTGTTTCCATTTATTTTCCATTTATGTGAACATTTAAACTATATACTTTAAACCTTACTCTGTGAACTTTTTATTATTATTTTTTAATGTTTTTGCCATAGTGTGTGTGCACTAGCTGGAGAGAGATAGAGAACAGAGAGGGAAGGTGAGAAATCCTCCTCGTGCGGGGGGTATGGCCACACTGCAATCTTGAAAACTCCATTCTCCTCTCAGGATTTTGGGCATAGACACAAACATGCTGGTGTGATTTTCAGGGTTCGAACCATCGTCAGCCACGTGAGAGTCCAGTGCCTTAACCATTACCCCACCTGCTGGCCCCATCTGTAAATTTTTTTTTCCCCTAATAGTGGTTTAGTAGTGTTCTCATTACAAATGAAGTTAGGGTCTAATGAAATAATTGCCGCTATTTACTGCCCTTCCTTTTAAATGCTGAGTATATGTGCCTCACTCCTGCTGTAAGAGACTCTGTGCTAGAATAGGTTAGAGTTTCCACCCACGTTTCTTGCCCTGCTGAGCGGGCTGGGAGGTCACACACAGGCTGTGTGTGAGGTATCTGTGAGGTAACTCAGAGCTCTGAGGCTGGTCTACAGAGGAGAAGAGACAGTAAGGCCGAACGCCATCAATGCTGAGGCCTCCTTTTTAGCCCTCAATACCTTTAAGTGACAAGAGATAGATTAGAGCAAGAGGTCTGCATGTTCGCATTTGTGTGAAAGGGGGGAAGGGTAAAAAGTCATAAGGAGAACTCATAAAGAGATGCAAGTCATTGTAGAACAAACACATTTCCGAACTGCTGGGTTATACCAAATGATCAACTTGCCATGCTAAGTGTTATGGTATCATTTTCCTAAGTCGATGCTTGAAGTTTTCAATGCAGGAAGACATATTGTGTTCCTTAATGCGATAGTTTATTACTCTGTTATGAAGTGAAGACTTAATGTCAGTCTATCATTCAGAGCAGTTTTACAGAGGGTTTTCCCCGTAACAGTCTGTTACTGACAGCGCTGATCCTTGAGGTACGCAGATTGGTGACTGAGTTGCAGTTCACTGAGGCTGGGTCTGCTTGGAAAGACGTGGCACCAGAGGGCCTTCTCTAGTCTTTCCAGTCTCTCCTGACTACTATGATCAGGTGTGTAAATGGTCATGAGTGTGTACACACATACATCCCCCCCCTCAGTTTTTTATCTATGAAAATGAGCTCCAGATCAGATCCCTTAGCTTTGAATCCTAGCTTCATTGCTTACTAAAGATGTGGTCTTGGGCAAGTTATCTGTCCCTTATATTCCTTGCTTATAAAGATGGTGATAATTTCTATTTCATGAGATGCTAAGAGGAGTACATGAACTAACATGATGGGGTATTCAAAAAGTTCATGGGGGGACCAGCGGGTGGTGTGGTGGTTAAGGCGCTGGATGCTCCCACATGGCTGACCACAGTTCAAATCCTGGGCCTGGTGGCTTGCTTTCTCACCTTCTCTGTCTGTCTGTCTGTCTGTCTGTTTGTGTCTCTCTGGTCAAATTAAAAATGAATGAATGAATAAATAAAGTTAAATAAATAATTTTTTAAAAGTTCATGGGAAATGTTATCATGAGATAACTATACATGGATCTCAAAATTGTTTTGTACCAAACCAGACTTGTACCAACTTGTTATAATATGTCTGAACAGGATCTAGTTTGAGGCACTAAGAATAGGATGCTAGTTTGAAAAGACCCTGCATCAGAGCCACATATATGCTGTTCAAATTGAAGCAAGAACAAACATAAAATTAAGAGTGAAGCTTGTGTGGAAGAATGGCAAAAATCAATGATGCTTTACAATAAGTTTATAGGACAGTGCCCCAAAGAAATTATGAGTTTACAAATGGATTACTCATTTTAAGAGGAGATGGGAGAGGCCGGTAGGTGGTGTGGTGGTTAAGGGAACTAGACTCCCATATGGCCAACTATAGTTTGAGTCCCAGACCCAGGTGGCTTGCTTTTTCACTCTCCCTCTCTCTCTCACTCTCTCTGTCCTTCTCTGATCAAATTAAAATAAATAAATAAGATTAAATAAAATAATTCTTTTAAAAAAGGAGGGGTGGGAATATGAGGCCCATGGCGGCAGACCACCTACATCAGTTTGTCAGAGAAAATTTTGTTTGTGTCCTTAGATGAAAAGGATTGACGATCAGCAGCAGAAATAGGAGCCAACATCAAAGACATCTCAATTGTTTCAGTTTGCACAATTCTGACTAAGAAAATAAAATGTGCAAACTGTTTGCCCAGTGGGTACAAGAATTGTGTCCAAATCAGCTGCAGAAAACAGACCTTTCAGTGAACATTTTAAACAAGTGGGATCAAGATCTTGAGGCATTTCTCCTGAGAACCTCGACAGGACTTGACAAACCGGTCATGTCGATCAGGACGATCCTGAAGACTAGGCACAGTCAAAGCAATGGCTGCCATCAAGTGGAAGTGGTCCAGTCACAGCAAAAGCAGACCCACCCAGAGCAAAGGTCGGGGCCAGCAGCTGGTGCGGCGGTTAAGATACTGGAATCCCCCACGGCTGACCATGGTTCCAGTCCCAGACCTGGCAGCTTGGAAATCACGCCAGGTACATAAGCATGCATGCCTGAAATCCCAGGAGGAGAATGAGGATAAAGGGCTGGGGTGGGGCCATTTCCCCTGGGTAGGATTCTCACTTCCTCTCTCCCTTGCTGTCTCTCTCCGATGAGCACACACACTCTGTAACAAAAACCTTTGGTTTTTGGACACCCAAGGCATTTTGCTTGAGTTTCTGGAGGGCCAAAGAATGGGAACATCGGTTTATTATAAGTGTGTTTGAAAAGCTGGTTGAAGCTTTAGCAGATAAACCACCAGAACGGCTCACCAGAGTCCTTCTCCACCGCCGCCGTACGGTCTGCTCATTCCTCATCAGACAAGGGCAGCCGTGTGAGTTCTGATGGGCAAGTACGAGGTTTCCTCCTTCCAGCCCTGACCTGGCTCCTTCTGACCTTTCGCTTCCTAACCCTATAAAACCTTGAAGGGCACCTATTTTTCTTCAGTTAACAATGTAAAAAAGACGGTACCTATATGGCAAAATTCCTAGGAGCCTCAGTTCTTTACACATGGGCAAGATGCTGGTATCACAGCTTATAAAATGTGCCTTGAACTTGATGGAGCTTGAGGTGAGAAACAATTTACATATTGTATTTTTTTAAGAGGTTTTTGCTATAGGGCATGTGCGCTTGCTGGAGAGACAGAGAGAAAGAAAGCGAGAAATCATCCTCTGAGGAGGATGGTCACGTCGCAATTCTTCTCTCTTCACCTCCCGAGCTTTTGGGCATGTGCACGTGCCTGGAGTGAGTCTGAAGCCGCTGAGTCCAGGACTCAAACCGCGGTGGACCATGTGGGAGTCCAGCGTCTTTAACCGTTATGCCACCTGCTGGCCCTATTTTATGTTTTAATTCCATTCTTCTACAAACTTTCTGAAGTCCTCTCCTACATGCATAATCCTCAGAACAGAGGCCAGACGGTGGCACAGAGGTAAAGCACAATGCTGTGTGAGACTGGCCACATGGGAAGATGCCTGGTTCGGGTCTGGGACCTCCCCGAGTATGGTGTTCACATATTTGCCCACGGCCTGGGGCTGGTTGTGGGCTGGAGGTGAACTGCCGCATGAAGACCATGTTACAGAGGAGGGCTGTCTCTCTCATGGAAGAAAGAAATACACGAGCTTAAAAAAAGGGGGGGGGTTTAAAATATCCTTAGAATAGAGCTGAGACATAATCCATGTTCAGTAAGAATTAGTTATCTTTAATAGTTGCTTCTGTCCTGTCCTCTCTACACTGCAATGTGTCTTTTGCCTTTTAAGTTTATAAAGTATACACAAAATGCAGTAATTCCTATTAAAGTGTGACTTGGTTTCTACAGTTCAGAGAGGAAACAAAAAGATCTAAACTTAAGTTTGAGTTCAAATTTATTTCCTTTTTTAAAATTTTATTTTGCCGGGACCAGCAGTTAGCATAATGGCTATGTCACTGGACTCCCATGTAGTCAACCACAGTTTGAGTCCTGGACCCGGTGGTTTAAAACTCATGCCAGGCATGTGTGCATGCATGCCCAAGATTCTGAGAGGAGGATGGAGAAGAAGGGATTGCAGCATGGCCATGTCCCCTGGGGGGGGTGATTTCTCCCTTTCTCTCTCTCTCTGTCTGGCGAGTGCATGTGCCCTATAGCAAAAACCTCTCAAAAAAACTTATTTTGCCAAAGGGCTCACAGACTCACTAGAGAGAGAACCTCCCTTCCCCCGTGAGGAGCAGTCACGCTGCAGTCCCTTCTCCATTTCTCCCCACTTTTGGTATTCTAGGCATGCACACACGTGCACGTGGTCTGGTGTGCTGTTTTAGCCGCTGGGTCTGGGATCTAAACCATATACTCAGCCACGTGGGATCTAGTTGTCCTACATGCCACACCAATGCCACGCCACGCCACTCCACGCCACGGGCTGGCCTTCATTTCCTCATTTCCACTGCTATAACAACAATTTCTCATGTTTTAAGCTATTAAACTAATGCAGATCCATCTGAAAACATCTGTTTTAAACTGTTTAGTGAGTACTGATAATAAAATTAGGTATGCTTCTTCATGTTGTTCCTCATTTTGAAAAACAGTTTTCTGAGATGGCTGTGAGCGGTGAGGACACACTCTCTGCCACGGGACAGGAGTGTCTTGGTGCCAAAGGAACACTCACGTGGTAAGCTCTGCCTTAACTGGCAGTAAGTGTCGGCCTAGCAGGGCTGTCAAAAAGCAATGTCCAAAGTGGTGGTTATGTTTATTTCCTATTTTAAAGCATCTCCCTCCTTGAAGGCACAGATATTTCTACAATAAGCAATATATGTCAATGGCTTTTAAAATGTTCACCAAATGGGGACCAGCAGATGGCGTCATGGTTACGTCGCTGGACTCCCATGTCATCGAGTGTGGTTCGAGTCCCAGACGTGGCAACTCAAAATTCACCCCAGATACACATATGCACAAAATTCCAAGAGGAGATTGGAGAAGGGATTGCCATGTGGCCATCCTTCCGGGGGGTGGGGCGCGTGATTCTCACTTTCTATCTCTCTGTCTCTGTCTCAGGTGAGCGCACATACCCTATAGCAAAAATCTCTCCAAAAAAAACCGCCTACCAAATGAAAACGCTGCTTTGGTATATAACTGTATTGTCCCAAAGAACAAATGTAGAGGTGTGTGTGGCTCTAGAGAAGAGCATTCTCCTCTGGACACATTCCCCACAGAGCAGGAGAAAACAAGACCTGGATGAGGTCCCTGCACTGCAGCCTAGTGTGGCCAATAAGAGCTGGCTCCTAGGTCCTGGCCTGTCCTAAATGAAAAGAGGGGTCAGTATTAAAGCACTGGAAGGATTAAAAAAAAAGCGAGTCTGGACATTTTTAGTTGACAGACTAGTGGCAAGGAAGCTGTGAATCCCGTATGTGACAGGACTGGGATTCCAGGTCACCTAATTTAAGCAGTTTCCTGATAGGGGGAGCTAGTCCTTGTTCTCCTGCTTACTGAAGTGTCCAAGCCCTGGAGAAGCCCCTGAGCTGGTACAAGCGGGTGGTGAGTTTTTACATCAGTCATCTGTCTGGTGTGAAAGCTGCAGCAGGAAGCTTGAGTGCAGGGATGGCCAAATGTACGATTTTGAGAACTCTGTTAGCATCAGAAGCACAACCACATTCTATGAGAATGTCTGAGATTTTGCCGTTCCAGAAACATCTGAAATAACATTGCGGTTCTGTCTAATAGCCAAACCAGAAGCTGAGATTGAGTGAAGAACTGCTGGTGCGCTGACTCATCCTGAATTGCCTAGATCACCACAATTATCAAGTCATTTTCTGCACAGTCTTATTCAATTAGACATAGATCCAGTGGTAAGTGCAGGTTGGATTCGCTCATTTATTTTGTCATAATTCAACCTTCCTAGACTAGAGAAATAGTCTCAAAGGACACGCCATAGAATAGACATTATTCACTTTCATCTTTTTAGTTTGAAATTGTGCCATAGCATTTGCAAGAGTATAATACATAGTATTTACGTATTTAGTTGGCCTTTGAACAATATGGGTTTGAACTGCATAGGCCCACTTAGATGCAGATTGTCTTCAATAAATACTGCACACGTATTTTCTCTAGCTTAATTTATTTTAAGAATACAGTCTGTAACACAGACAAAATATGTGTTAATCGATATTTATGTTATCGGTAAGCCTTCTGGTTAATAAACAGTAGACTACTAGCAGTTAAGTTTTGGGGGAGTCAAAAGTTACACTCAGATTTTCAACTGTACGTGTGAGGGTCTGTGCTCCTAAGTCCTGGGTTGTCCACAGGTCAGCTATAAAAGTAAAACTGCCTACTTTATGTCAGTTATCAGGAGACTACTACAAACAGGGACTTGGGGTGTGGTATCTCTGCACTGGCTTTGTTTTGCTGTAGGGCGCATGCACTCACCGGAGAGACAGTGAGAAATCACCCCCAGTCCGCAGGGGAGGATGGCCATGCCACAATCCCCTCTCTGCCATTCTCCTCTTGGGATTTCGGGCACACATGCGGACCTGGCCTGTTTTAATCCACCGAGTCTGGGATTTAAATCGTGGTCAACTATGTGGGAGTCCAGCAACGTGCCATTATGTCTTCTGCTGTCCCCCTGCTTTGTCTTAAAATATTAAGTCAATAAGGAATGCTGAATCAAGTTTTCATAGTTTTGGGTCTAAGCTGTAATTGACTCAAATTCTCAGACCTATGATTGAGGTTCCCTGGTCCTTTAATCGGGTTGTTGGAAAAGTCAATGAGTATTTTTTTTTTTAATTTTTCTTTTTTAAATAGTTATTTATTTAATTTTAATTGTTACTATTATTTTTTAATTTGACCAGAGAGAGAGACAGAGACAGAGAGAAAGGGAAAGTGAGAAAGCAAGCCACCAGGTCCAGGACTTGAACCGTGGTTAGCCATGTGGGAATCCAGCGCCTCCAACCACCTGCCAGCCCCAAGTCATGAGTATTTTTCTATGCAAAACTATGTCATGACTTTTCCGACAACTCGATAAATTTCACAAAGTTGATTTTTAGTCTGACATGTTTCATTGTCCCTTGGTTCGTATTAGTTAATTAAGCTTTTTTTTTTTTTGATATTTTTAAGAATTGGGACAGGGACAAGCTACACT